TTCAGCTTGCCGTATGGCGAGCTAGTCCTAAACAGTTCAGTTCGTCGTATGGTGAGCTAGTTCAGCTTGGCCAGGTCGCCGTATGGCAAGTTAGGCGATAAGAACCCTTGGGGCAAAGTCAGCGCATCTTGGGCGAGCTAGGCGCTTGGTTCAGCTCGCCGTATGGCGAGCTAGCTAGCTCTACGTTCGGCGAGCTAAGCCGGCTTGGTTTAGCTCTACGTTCGGCGAGCTAAGACGCTTGGTTTAGCTCTACATTCGGCGAGATAAGACGCTTGGTTTAGCTCTACGTTCGGCGAGCTAAGCCAGCTTGGTTTAGCTCTACGTTCGGCGAGCTAAGATGCTTGGTTTAGCTCTACGTTTGGCGAGCTAAGACGCTTGGTTTAGCTCTACGTTCGGCGAGCTAAGCCAGCTTGGTTTAGCTCTACGTTCGGCGAGCTAATACGCTTGGTTTAGCTCTACGTTCGGCGAGCTAAGCCGGCTCGGCGCGGGTGATCTCGATTCGTCGAGTTGAATTGTTTTCGTCGTAGAATCTCAACGGAAAGTCCGATTGAGACGAAACGAGAAGCTGTACGATCGAGATTGGAATAGGATCAGGCTTAGGATCCTGAGAATTGCGTCCCACTCGCCATTGGGCGAGCTGGTAAAAGCTTCACACGTTGAGATTTCTCTGATTTGGTTACGGGGTTTGATTGGTTTTATCGTTGCCCTTTTGTTTTCTTTCCCTGGTGAAGAGTCACGATTAAGTTTTCAATTTTATCAATTACTACAGCGTTTGCGTGAGCGTTGGCTATAGGAGCAGTCGCCGCTAGAGTTGTTTTACCAGCGTTTTTGCGAGTTGCGACTTTGTCTTTCATATATCCAGACATTGTTTTGATCAAGCGTTTTGCGGCTATGAGTAAGAGTAATCCGACCCATCCTCCTTCTAGCGCCTAACTGTGGGAACCGAAATTCACCTACTGTCGATTTCCCTTAACTAAGGAAACATAGGAAAACCCTAATTTTCCAGAGGAACCGGATCTCTGCGAAAGCCGACAACAAGTAACCAAATAAATGCGGAAAATATGAAAAACGTAATAAAACGAATTTATAGAAAAAGTAGATCTTATTTCGATTTCGCGTAAGAGCATTGCGATCGTTACAAGGGTTTACAAAGGCTTCGGCCGCAGGGCCATCAGCGAGTTATCAACATAAAACCCCTAAACCTAGTCGAGTCGCAGCTCGATAGCGAAAGACGGAAAAAGATAAGAAAAGGGTTTGATTGATTTCGGACTGAACCTTATGAAAGGCTGCCTACGTACCCCTTTCGAGGATCAAGTCGAACGTAGTTCAGTTGATAGAGCTGGACCAGAGATCCAACTGCCTGGGCAAGTTTGTCTAGTCATAGAAACCGAACTTGTCGAGAAAAAGCCTAAGTTTCTAAGTGCGAAAAATTCTAAGTCTAGAAAAGTTGTAAAAAGTCAGATGAGAGCTCTGATTTTCGTCCCCTTGCTTCTGCCCTATGCCTCTTGCTTATATACTCTCTTCCTAGGTGGTTTAGTCTTTCCATTTCGCCCAGATTCGAGTTTATCGGGAATCTTCTATTTATCTCGATCTTTCCTTTTTCCCCGCGGAAATCTTCTTTTTATCCTCAAACTTGACATTTATCTTCAAGTTTGACATTTATCTTCTTTCTGCGAGTAAATCGCCAAAACGTCGTCATATCTTCGGGATGGACTTCGTTTAAAGTCGCGAGTGGCTTTTATCGCGTTTTAGGACTTTTCGAGCCGTTTTGTGATAAATTCGTTTTACGACTTTAGATGAGATCGTTTCCTGATACGATGACGTTTTTAGATAAGTTTCTCAAGTTAATCGTAAAGCGAGGCAATGTTCAATGTTTTGATTAATCGTTGCCGTTTTCTACGATTTACTCGGGGTTTTATTAAAAACACGTTTTGTACGTTTTTACGAAAAATTCTGAATAAATTGTATCGTTTAGGCAATATTCGGTGTTTCGTTTAATCGTTGCCGTTTTATACGATTTCCTCGAGTTCTTTCCGAGAAAACAGAGTTTTACGGTTTTTATCGTAAAACTCGAACGATAGGACGGATCGAGACGAAACGAGAGACATTTCGACTGTAATTCAGAATACGATCGTGTCGAAGGACGTATGCCTTGAATCAAGGATATGGGAGATCGAGGCTCGGGATGGTCGGCTCGACGTACGGCGAGCTAGTTCAGCTTGGCCAGGTCGCCGTATGGCGAGCTAGGCGATAAGAACCATTGGGGCAAATTCAGCGCCTATTGGGCGAGCTACCCGGGAAGCTTCTAGCTCGCCGTTGGGCGAATAGTCGGGACGAGACTAGCTCGCCGTTGGGCGAGCTAGTCGGGACAAGACTAGCTCGCCGTTGGGCGAGCTAGTCGGGACAAGACTAGCTCGCCGTTGGGCGAGCTAGTCGTGACATGACTAGCTCGCGTTTTACGGCGGTTTCGGTTTTTCACAATTTTGTGCTTAACTCGGACGATCTTGTAATCGACGTTTTTTTTCGTTTTTCCGAGATAACGATCTTTCGAGTTTTCCGCGGATTTCCTTTGATCGGAAATCTCTTTGGATTTATAAAACGATTTCTCGAGTCTTATCAAACGATTTCTCGAGTTTTATAAAACGACTTCTCGAGTTTTATAAAATGATTCTTCTAGTTTTATAAAACGATTTCTCGAGTTTTATAAAACGATTTCTCGAGTTTTATAAAACGGCTTCTCGAGTTTTATAAAACAATTCCTCGATTTCTCGAGTTTTATAAAACGATTACTCGAGTTTTATAAAACGATGTCTCGAGTTTTATAAAACGGAAACTTCTTTAATAAAATGATTTCTCGAAGTTTATAAAACGATTTCTCGAGTTTTGTAAAATGATCTCTCAATTTTTATAAAACGGTTAGTCGAGTTTTGTAAAATGATCTCTCAATTTTTATAAAACGATTTCTCGAGTTTTGTAAAATGATCTCTCAATTTTTATAAAACGATTATGTTTTAACATGTGTAAGCTGTTATAAAGTTTTGAAGAATTAGTATTGTTGTGTGTTTAATCTTCTTTACAGTTTGTTAAAACTAGAACAATTTCACTTCATTACAAATAACTTTGATGCATCTAAGCAATTTTATCATCTTTGCTAAGGTAATTAGTAATTTCTTAAAGTTTTTATTATAAAAGAAATTCACAACCAATTACTTAACATCATCAAATAAAAATCGTATATTGGAATTCTTATTCTTCTCTTCTCTTGTTTTATAAAATTTGTCATATTTATCATGTCAATCCGAAATGTGTTATTTCTCCTAGTAGCTATATGCATTACAGCTTCTGGAATTGCTCAACTACCGCAATTTCCGTTTCCGATCCCACCCAGTACTGGCTTGCCACAAAGGCCCGACTTTACAAAATGTTTGTCTACATTGATGAATATTCCCGGATGTGTTGCAGAGATCTCTCAATCCACAATGACCCATAATTTTGGTAACATTGGTCCTGCATGTTGTAAAGCTTTTTTAGAAGCGGAAGCTAACTGC